TGAAATATAACTTTCAGAATAGCTTCTTGGTGTTGAAGATTCAAAATCCGAATTAATCTTCCTTTTCTTAAGTCATCATATATTTGAGATCATAAGTTGTAAACTTAAACTGGAATTCTTGATTTCAAATCTTAATGATTCTCAATGATTCTTCCTTGTTTGTGATAGATATTCTGTAGATATTCTCTGTGACTTCTATGATCTAGAGCCAGGGTGGGCATAACGCGTCCAGTTGGTGAAGGGGCTAGCCAGTTGGATTGGAATATGGTTTGGCTGCGCTGTGGCGTGGTAAGTCCAGCCAGAGTGGGGTTCAAATAGAGCTGAAGGGGGATATTGGGGGGATAACCCCGCCTTGTTTTGCTGTGATATTCTAATCTAGGTTAAATCCTTGTCTACTAATTTTCTGCGAGAGTCTGTACAGGCGTTGATCAGGATTGGGTAGTTTGTTTTTTGTGGAGTGTATTACCTGGAATTGGAGGGTGGTCTTGACCTCATTAGGGGCGGGCTGATTTTGGGATCGGGTCAGTCGTGGCAGATGGGGAGGAGGTCAAGGGGTTGAGAGGATTGATGGGGGAACTCTAGTTCTGCGGGGGCATATGCTTGATGTGGTAAGGAAGTTACAAGTCCCTGAGGGAGCTGGAGTGACCTGTAGAAAAGGGTAAGATGGAGAAAGGGAAACTGTAGTTCTGCGGGGGCATGTGCGTGATGTGGTAAGGAGATTACAAGTCCTTGAGGGAGCTGGAGTGACCCGGGGGAAGAGGTAATTAGGGTGGGGAAGGAGGGAGGGGGAACCCAGTTCTGCGGGGGCATGTGCATGATGTGGTAAGGAAATTGTAAGTCCCAGAGGGAGCTGGAGTGACCTAGGGGAAGGAGCAATCCTGGTTCCTGCCTGAGTTTGATATGCTTGAGTGCGTGTCAATTTTTAGGGGTTTAGAAAAGGCGGGCACAGTTCTTACAGTTTCTTTCAAAAAAACTATCATCAAAGGACGATCCCTGCTCAGTTAATCCCCTGGATTCCAGGGTAATCAATGCTGGCAGGGGGAGTTTCCCTTAACTTCTCAAAAAAAGATCCTAGTTGAAGTGTAAATGTTCTTATGGGACGCTGGGCCCGGTTTCCAGCAAGTGCTGCTCCCCACGAATAGATTGGAGCTTTTGTCCCTAAAAAAAAAAAAGAAAAAAAAAAAAGGCTCATAACTTCATATTGCAATCAGACTTGTTCTCATTCACACTTTTCATGCATGTAAACAGCAGCGCAGCAAACTCGCGACATGCTCCCACTCAAAACTCAAAGATACGGCATCCAGATACGAATTCACTTTCAACTGGCTATGGCGACTCAGCGCCCAAACAACTCACTGTTCACACACACCGGATCACCCTGGATATCCCACACGCGTAACTCTGAACACTCACACATACACACACACACACACTGTACACTAACTACAGCTATGGCAGCTATGGCTGCCTCTACCCTATCGCTATACTAAGCTCCTTCTCTCTCGCCCACTGCGTCCTCCGGGCTCACTGCAGACCTCCTTGCACAAGTCGCTGTGGCACCGCTTCCGCATGGTTCACACAGGAATGAATGAATGGCTGGGCGCTGCCTCTTGATTTATACTTCTGCAGGTCGTTGGTCTGGCCCATTTCCCTTGCCCGAAGTGCACACAGTCCCGTGCGGTACTTGCTTGACTGACTGGGGACTGGGACTGGGACTGTTGACTCAGCAGGGTAGACTTCCCCCACTTGCCCACTTGCCTCACCACTTGACCACTTGCCTCTGCTTGAACGTGGGCAACTCACGAAAGGCCACTACTGGGACCTTCCGGAAGGCCGTAGACTTGGCCTTTCGTGACTGTAGCAGCTACGACTCTGACCCTTCTGGACTGTAGCAGCTACAACCTTGACCTTTCGAGAACACTACAGCTACGATGTCTAGACCTGACTAAGAC